GCTGAGAGCAAGGAGATTTTGCAAAAGGATCGTGCCCCCAGGAACTGTCATTCTTCTCCACTGCCCTCAGAACTGTTGCCCTAAAGTAAGCACTGTTTGGCATTAAGACAGTAAATACTCTCATATGTTCACAATTTTATTTCATCTAGTGCTTTCTCCTCAGCATTGGATGAAACGCCTGGATAAAATAGCTTTGGTGAGCAAACAGCATCAGGCAGACTCTCTCTTGCTCTTTCCCCTCTAAACTGCTACCCCAAAGGCTATTTTTATGCATTTTGAGCTCTGAGAATACACCAATCGCTCCATTCTGAGAATGCCTAGATTTAGGAGAAACAAGGTTGTATTTCCTGTAGTAATAATGAAAAAAAAAAAGTTATTCTGTTTGTATAGTACTTGTGTAATTAATTAACATTGATTAATAATTTTGCTGATCCTAAGAGAGGAAATGTAGTGAGCAAATGACCACCCAAGTATGGTAGCACATTTTTAATGGGTAGTATCAAAACCCTGTTTTCGTCATAAAATTATTTATCTTTCTCCCATGTATTTCCAGGATTTTATCTTCAAACACTATAGTGTAGCTAACAAACTCTAAAGGCCCAGACCCTGATGTACTCAACTATGCTTCAATTTCACAAATAGTAGTTCCATGATGCAACAATATTTCAGCATGCAATTAGAAAGTCAGTCTTATAATCCAGTTCAACCCAAGCCATTAAACACCATGATTAGCCCTTCCAGTATAATACACCCTTTTCTATAATACATTTTAAAAGATAGGATTTTTAAACCTGAGCTATCATACAAACCGTATCAGAAGCATAGTTCAAGCCACAGCTAGATGGATGGATAGAAATTATTTTCTTTTTTTTGCTACCAACACAGAAGAAGCTGTGTAGCTTGTAAATCTGTCATAATTTATATCATGCTTCTCTTGGGCAAGCCATCGACTGTGTATGCCAGATTATGTACAGTACTAGACCCTTCAATCAACATTTTAAGAAGCAATTAGGCACAGACTGTCCTTTTAGCAGAGACAGTTTCTACTTTCATTGGCCCTGCATTTTATAATTGAAAGTGTTCCCTATTCCATTGCAGGGTAGCATCCTTATATTTAAAACAATATTATATTTCTTGAATATTTCAAGTATCAATTCAAAGATTTTCAAATATTTCCTGCAACTCTGGTTTGTTTGAATTTTCTTTGGGTTTTTTACCCCATTGTTTGTATTTCATACATAGAAACCCAAACTGGGAAGATGACCATTTATGACAGATACTATATGAACACATAAGAAGATCTGCAGTTTCTCAGGAGCAGACTAAGTGGGCAGAAACAAAGGCAATAACTTTCTAAAGGTCACATGGCAGACCAACAACAGATGTAACACCAAGTTTCCTACTCCAAAAGTCATCTACTAAACAAAGAATTTTTTTTTTACTTAATGAAATCCAAGCAAAACTCATACTGCTACAACAGAAGAGAACAGGATCTCCTCCTCAGCAGTATAGTTACAGAAAAAGCATCTGATGGCTCCCCAAATTAACAGAGGTAGGTGACAGACTGAGAATGAAGTATTCAAGCTAAGGTTACAGCACCACACTGCATAGAACCCACAGTAAGCTTTGGAAAAAAACCAAAAAACCAGACACATAAGTCAAAGATGACATTCATCTCATTCCAATTCAATGCTATTTGCAGTCCAGAGATTGCATGAGCTTACAACTCTAATACTGTAGCTCCACAGGATGTAGAACAATGCAGTAGAAGAGAATAATATCTTATTACATTCTTCGTCTTAAGCAAGTGAAAGCATATTTTGTGGCAGAAGCATCACCAGGGACTCAAAACTTACTACATTAGTGCTTACCATGATTCTATTCTTGGTTAAGTAGTCATCTGGGCTCCCAGGAGACCTTCTTCTGCACTGTATTTCCTTTACAATAGTAGCCTATTTTAAAACTATTTCTTAAATTATTATGATTTCTATTTCTTATATGGTATTTTAAAATAAACAAATCATTCTGCTGGTCAAAATAGAGATGCAACTATTTTTGTAAACTGATACCAGAACTTCAATACATTCAGTAGTCTAAAAACTTTCTCTACACACTGAAATGCGTATTATCTTCAGCAGTATTAACACTATGGCTTTAGTGAAGAGAGCTGTCTGTTACATGCAAAGAAATACATAAAATAACCCTAATCATACCAATCCTCCTGCTCAAAGATTATGAGACGCCAGGATGGGGGTTTGCCTGTGCAACCTTAAAACAAACCTGATTTCCCCTGTGACATAGGCTTTGTGTGATCTTATATCTTTCACGGGCTTATTACTTAGTTTAAACAACAAAAGCATGGTGTGTTCAATAAGATACTACCCAGCATTCTTCCCTTTAAGATCTATTCTTTCTATTACTGTCCAATTGGCACCCAAACCTCAGACAGAGAATTACCATTTTTTCCTGGATTTTGCCATGGTACTCTCAAGGACAAAGTGAAAAGAACACTTACAAGTGATGCTGAGCTTTGAGCAGATAAATGTTTCTAGGCATTTATCATTCTGACTGGAGCTGAATGCTTCTTGTACTAGCTACAGTCAAGAGCTCTCAACTGTATTCTGAAAACACTAGAAAATACATGCTTCAAGTAAGTGACCAGAGGAGTGAAAAGCAATCAGGAGCAATCAACCTGCATTAAAGCCACAAGGACTAAAGAGTGTAGAGGCTTAACAGAGTCTTTATCCTGACACAGTTGCCTAAAATAAAGCTTAAATGGAAAAAAACTAAATGGAAAAAGGAAATTTAAAGAATGTGGAAAACAGGACTGGCCACTTGGGAGGAATATAGGAATGTAGTCTGAGAATGCAAGGATGCAGTGAGGAAAGTTAAGGCCCACCTGCAATTAAATCTGGCAAGGGGTATCAAGGTCAACAAAAATGGATTATTTCAGTACATCAGCAAAAAAAGGAAGACTAGGGAGAACGCAGGCCCCCTGATGAATGAGGCGGGTGACCTAGTGGCAGAAGACACCGAGAAGACAGTTTCTGAATGCCTTCTTTGCTTCAGTCTTCACTGCTAAAGCCAACACTCTTGAATTCTGGACCCTGGAGGTAAGAGATAAGGTCTGGAGAGAGGAAGACCTTCTCTTGGTAGAGGAGGACCACGTTAGAGGCCACTTAGCCAAACTGGACATACATAAATCCATAGGCCCTGATGGGATGCACTCACGAGTTCTGAGAGAGATGGCAGATGGTATTGGTAGGCACTTTCCATCATCTTTGAGAGGTTACAGAGAACAGGAAAAGTGCCTGAGGACTGGACTGGAGGAGGATGAATGTCACTAGAGTCTTCAAAAAGGGCAAGGAGGAGGACGCAGGGAACTACAGGCCAGTTAGTCTCACTTCCACACCAGTAGGGTGTTGGAACAAGTTCTTCTGAACAACATCTCAAAACATGTGAAAGAAAGTCACTGGGAGAAGTCATCATGGATTCACCAAGGGGACATGCTTGACCAATCTGATTGTGTTCTATGACGTTGTAACTGGCTGGCTGGATGAGGGGAGAGCAGCAGATGTCATCTATCTTGACTTCAGCAAGGCTTTTGACGCTGCCTCCCATAATATCCTCATTAGGAAACTCAGGAAGAGCAGGCTAGATGAGTGGACAGTGAGGTAAATGGAGAGCTGGCTGTGTGACAGGAAGTTGTGAACGATGGAGCAGGGTCGAGTTGGAAGCCTGTAACCAGCTGTGTCCCCCCAAGGATCAATACTTGGTCTGGTCTTGTTCACCATATTCATCAACAACCTGGATGAGGAGACAGTGTGTCCTCAGCAAGTTTGCCGATGATACCAAACTGGGAGGGGTGGCTGACACTCTGGAGGGCTGTGCTGCCATACAGCATGACCTGGGCAGAGAAGAACCTAACGAGGTTCAACAAGGGCAAGTGCAGGGTTCTGCACCTGGGGAGGAAGAACCCTATGCACCAATATAGGTTAGGGGTGGACTTGCTGGGAAGTAGTTCTGAAGAGAAGGATCTAGGAGTCCTGGTACATAGTAAATTATCCATAAGCCAGCAATGTGCTCTTGTCACCAAGAAGGCAAACAGAATCACAGGGTGCATAAGGAAGAGTGTGGCAAGTAGGTCAAGAGAGGTCCTTCTCCCACTCTACCAACGCTCTGGCTCACATACTGGATTCATTCTTCCAAGGTAATTACTATTCACAGATGGATATTGCAACATTTTAGTGGATGAAATAACCAACAGAATGAATTTTCTAAGGGCCTAAAGACCATAGCAAACTTCTTATTTCATCGTGTACATTGCATTTCTTTGCAAAGATCAGCAAATAATGATAGATGTTATTAAAAATTAATGCAAACGCATTCTGTGTGAATGCTTGTGACTTTGCTCAAACAAAAAGAACTCTAAACAGCAAAACTAGTTCCTCAGTGTAGCATTCAAACGCATTAACCTCCCTTTCTTTGTTGAACTGCCCTGCTGTAATTACTGAATGTCAGGAAAGAAAACACACAATTATTCCCCCTTCCTTATTCATCTTCAGAATGTAATCCATCCTGTGTATCAAATCAATCAAGTTTTCTACTGTGAAAATAAAACTCCTCTCCAGTCACAGTTTTCTATAAAATTCAAGCCCTTCTTAGAAGGTATGAAGGTACTTGAGTTTGCAGTGGAAAAAAAAAATATTTACAATTTTTTCTTCAGTACAAGAAAAATTAAGATTTCCTCAGGAATGAGTAGAACACTGTCACTGAAATGTCCTGAGTCAAGGTTTTCCTGAAAGACACCTGAGGAGGAGCCTTAGAGATCAACATTGGGTAGATATCCAAGCCAGATATTTAAAGTTTCTCAAACTAATAGATAAATGGAACAAAGAGGATCTTGCCATAGAAAATACCAAGTAATACTGAGTTCACACAGCCATCTCTATTTATTGTATCTCTACTTTTTTTAATTACAATTAAGAATGTTAGCTTACCTGACCAGAAAGCGATGAAGCCCAACATCAAAAGTTCTGTAAGAAAAAAGATTCAGCATATTTTAATAATTTAAAATATTACTCGGCTGGGTATTATATTTAAAACCAAGCAATAATACCAAAGATAAATATAAAATTACTTAAGTTGATAAAACAGAAGCGAAAGTGTAATATACAATTTTTCTGTAGTGACACATGAAGCTTATGATCATCATAGGGCAAGATTTAAATTCATATTAGAAAGCTCACAAATTCCCTGTTTGAGTATTTCTTCAATACAGCAGTAATATTCAGAGTAGTAAAACCCACATAAAACATAAATTGTATATTCTGTTACTGGAAATAATTTTTTCAGCATCCTGATGGCCAGGGATTCTGCATGTTTCCTATCATATATGTAGGTAGATCCTCTATACCAAACTACCATGGAATCCTCCCTCTCTTTTTCCCTTTTTTGCTCTGTACTGAACTAAAATGCAAGGGATTGCTGTGAATTCTCTCCATGATATAAAATAATCAAATAACCCCCTTTTGTCTCCTTCAGATACACAGAAGTACTGAGAAGTGGGGGTCTTTCAAATTTGTTTCACTCAGATCTGGTGAAGAAAATAACTTTGAAGATTTTTGACAGTAAATACAATTTAGATCATGCTAAATTACATGAACCGCACCTGAAAATTTCAGCAGTAACAGCAAACATTGCCAGTCAGTGTCAGTACTTCTTTCCCTTTTCCATTTCCTCCACCCCTCAGTAAACTCAGGAGAATAAGCTCATGAACAATGTACTAGCAAATTCTTGACACTACAGGAAGGTCTTCTGCTGATTTTAGACTTTTACCCAATATCTGAAGTATGTGCTAATTTTATGAGACTATCAGTATAATCCCAGATTAACTGGGATGTGCAAAATGGCACAGTTGGAAAATACAAACGTCTTCTTCCCAGTGCTGGACTTTCTCTAAAAAGGGCTTACATTCTGTACATAAAAAAACGTTTGGGCATACACTACGCTCTTGAGCATCCTGTTCCAAAAACACCCTAATTGGTCATTTGACTACAACACTGTTTTATTTAAGCAGTATTGCTTGCAGTGTGCTGCCTTCTACCTGAAACAGCAAGAGAAGTAATCAGATAGTTAATGGCATCCTGATGACAGCAGACAGATGGTGAGCTGTAGAAATTCTAGGAGAGAATTCTAGGACAGAAAGTCCACTGGTTCAGAGTGGAGAGGAGGGGAGAAAATTTCTCAAAAGCTGCCTTGCGACAAAAATAAAATATTTTGACAGGAGCATGCACATGGTCACCATTAAACCTGTATTTTTCACATTCCTTTCCTGAAATCATTCCCCATTTTACATTATTCTATTATTGTGTAATTATACTGCATGAAGTATATCTCTTTACCTTTCTGCATTCCTCCTGCCTGGACACATGTTTTAACTTGGCTTTGCCTCTTCAATAAAATATCCTGTGTTATATAGGCAGTATTCCATATCAGAGCTGCCCATGGTCCATATTTATAGTTCTGAAAACTTTTTCTTCCTAGGATTAAGCACATCAGTATGTTTGTACTGGGATGGGGAGAAGAGGAAACTTGTACAGTTCCAGGAAACAGCTGTATGCTAAACACACATCTTCACCCATGCTCATCTTTTCAAGTTCTCCTAGATATCCTCTGATAGCAATGATGGAACGTGCTACGGTCCATGAAGGGACCAACTTATCTTTTGGGGAGGGATTGGGAGGACAAAAATATCACCACTTTTGACACTGAACCAGAAGCCAAAGGACTTATCCTACAATTGGCATGGAAACTGAATGGCCCTGCTAACTTCCAATGATCAGAGCTGAAGGAGGTTGGGCCAGACAAAGCTGAGGTGGAGCAGGTTCAAAAAGGGATGGAGAATAAAAGTTTGCTGTGAACTTAGATGCCATCTTCTCCTCTCTTTTTTCACTCTTTGCAAAACGTAATACACTATTAAAAAATGTAACTTTATTTTATATGGACTGAATATTTCCACAAAATCTTCAACAAGTATTAAAAATAAACATGTATAGAACTGGTTTATTAGAATAAATTAAAAGGAGGAAAAAAAGATCAGTCTCACTAAGTATAACTCAGCATAGACACATGGGTCCCAGTATTCCCCAGTTTGATGCTGTACTGATACATTTCAACCAACTCCCTAAGATCTTGAGTTCTCAACAGTGTAAGCAGTCACTTAAAGATAATGTCACAATCAACAAAATTATGGGAACATAGTGGTATCAGAGTGTGCACCCAGGTCTTAAAGACACCTCTGGACAGTATCATTGAGTAGTTCCAAAAGCAAGAACAAGGCCAGACAATCTCAAACTGTAAAAGGGAGAAAGAGTTGCATTATTTAAGGCTATGCATATAGGTTACACACATTTTTAAGCACTTCAGAGAATGAATAGACATTATGCAAGGCAAAAATACTGAAAAGCTAGGATTCTCTGAGGCCGATTTTGACACTACCACAGACACTTTCGACTTTTCAGCTTGTTCATATTTAAATACATTCTGCCTTTAATTCTACAAGGGCACTTGAAAAACACAGTGAAGTAGCAATAGAAACAAATCTGACAAATGTAAAGAATCGCTCTATTGTCAGATGCAAAGTTAAGAAGGGGTAAAGAAGGTTTGTACAGCAATGCTCTGACTGCAACTTGGGAGTGGAATAAGCAACTACATTAAATAAGAGGCACGTAATCCTAGTGTGTTTGTATTAAACCCTTTCGGTGATCCCTTCAATATCACAGGAATCTGCTTAAAGCCTGACAGGGTGCCCCCCACAATTAACTCAGAATTACACCTGCCATAAGCACATGGACATGATTATCCACTGCCTATAAAGCACACCCGTATTCACTTAGTATTGCAATATACTTTATAATGAAGTTCATACAGCCTGTTCAATCCTGAGCTTCTCTGTAAAATACAGGATTTATGTGGTAGTGCCTCGGTTACATACCAGTTTTACAAATACTTTTTGAAATCCTATAATGAGCATAATTTTCTGAAATAAAGTTTATTTAAAATTTTAATTAAATCAAGTAAAAGCGTATCTACAGCAACATGAGCAAAAAAAATGATTTGCCAGTTAATATCTCTATACTGCTCAGATGTCAGTAGCAATATATTTCACATTCTTAAGAAATAATGGGAAAAATCTTGACTAGTCAGCAGAAGAGTAAATGGGAGATATCTAATCTTCATTTTATAATCATGTTACTCATTACAGACAATTTAACAATTTTCTTCATAAAAATGTCTAAACCCCAGAATCATAGAATTGCTTTGATTGGAACATTTACCCCAGAATCATAGAATTGCTTTGATTGGAAAAGACCTTTAAGATGTTCCAATGAGACTTTTAACCTAACAATGCCGAGTCCACTGCTAAACCATGTCCCTAAGCACGACATCTTTTAAATACCTCCAGGAATGGTGACTCCACCACTTCTCCAGGCAGCCTATTCCAGCACCTGACAACCCTTTCAGCGAATAATTTTTTCCTAATACCCAATCTAAATATCCCCTGGCACAAGCTGAGGCCATTTCCTCTTGTTCTTTTGCTTCTTACTTGGAAGAAGACATTGACACCATGCCACAACCTCCTTTCAGGCAGTACTGAAAGCAGTACTTACTGCTCCTCCTGTGGAGAGCAGTAAGTTTTCCCCTCAGCCTCCTTTCTCCATATTTAGCAATCACAGTTCCCTCAGTTGCTCCTCAAGACTTGTGCTCCAGACTCTTCACCAGCTTTGCTGCCCTTTTCTGGATGTGCTCCAGCACCTCAAGGTCCTTTTCATAGCGAGTGGCCCAAAAATAAACACAGTACTGGAGGTGCAACCTCACTAGTGCCTAGTACAGGGGAACCAACAAGGCCCTTTTTAAAAAATAAAATCTTTGAAATCTCTGCCTGCAGGCATATATTCCTCCCCTCAAGGAACATTTTAAAAATTATTTCAGACATGCAGTTTCTGCTTTGAAAGCTAAACATATAATGCTATGAGCTGCCTCCAAATCTGTATTCTTCACAAAGCTTAGAGGGGGAAGAGAAAAAAGAAAAATATTACTATTATATAGAAAAATATGAAAAGGCAGGCACCTGTTAATAGGAACCACAGTCAGTAGCAACAGCACATGCATGGAAATTGTAATCCTGATGATTCTCAGGGAAAAAAAAACAAACTACAGAACTCCTCTTATTGTCCCCGGAATGCAAAAGGCATGTGTACATATCTTAAAAAGCCAAATGAGCACAACTGTGACAAGTTTCTGTTCATGCTGCAATTAGGGTACAAGAGGAGCCACTCATCTCTTTCCCACTTGTGTCATAGGCCCTTTGGACTTGCTCTGACACTTCCATTTGCCCAATTTCCTTATAGTCTGTTCTTATTTTGAAATTCCATACCTACCACCTGTGACTTAACAATACCATAGAGCAGAGTTTTCTCACTGTATCTGCCTATTGCAGGCTGGCACATACTCATATAAAATCAGGATCAAAAACCAGTCAGGACCTCCTAGGAACTGGTTTGCTTTCCTGGCCACATGCCCTGAGCCCAGCACAGACCAGCCGGCAAGGTGGGTCCCAGTGCAGCTACAGATTGACCTGCAGTGACAGACTGGGCATCACCAACCAAATACCCACCCTGGTCACCCCTGTGTGTGCATGTTATCTGATGGGCTGTTTGTGGATCCACAGTGCAAACCTGTGCCTTCTTTTAACTGAGATCTAAATTCAGATTCCCTAACAGAGAAGTTGTATGAGCCTTTAGTAGGTAACTTATGAAATTAATGAAGTTATGCCAGCTTACATAACTTAAGCATCTGACCCTACACCTACCTAGATGAAAACTGCTACTCATTAGCAGTGTTAGGGACTACAGCTCTATGGTGCTGGCTAAAGGACTCCATCTCACAACAAGACTTGATTGTTAGACCGCATTTGCAACATTAAAAAACTAAGTACCAAGCACACGTCAGGATCACACGAATCAGTTTAAAG